CCTTTCCTGCTCCAAACAAGCGTCATATCTGTGTATTTCCGCTTTATCCTTACCGCATGCTAAGGCCCCTTCTAAAAGTAATCTTAGTCTTAAAAAAAATTTCGTTTTCACACATGTCAAAACTAAGCCTCTTCTTCGTCTTCACAAACTAGGTTTATCCAAATGGATATGTCTGCACAATTCATGACATTAACCACATCATCCTTCTCCATTTCCCACTAACTAAAAGAAGCATGACTCACTTTGACAGTTCACTCATGACACTATTGCATTATGATTTCTCCTAACTTTAGGTGTACAATTTTTATGCACTTTGTTGGTTATTACATTTAGTAGGTGCTCAATAATTATGCATTGGATTAAGCCTAATTAATACATCTGGTTTCAGATAACTCTTGACCTTGCGTAAATTATTTCTCTGTGCCTCAGTTTCCTCATCGTCTGTAAAATGGGAATATAATAGTACCTATCACTTGGAGATGTTCAGATGATGAAGTGAATTTACATATGTAAAGCACTTAAAATAGTACTAAGCAGACTGTAAAAATTATATCTGTTAAATACTATTATTAAGTAGGTTCAGGGACACAATACTTTTAAAATCATCTTAAAGTTGTTACTTTGAGGTAATAATCAGAGAAAATGATGTTCAGAATTTCAGCTTTAGCCACTTTTTCAGTTCAAAGAAATATAATTTACTTTATACAGCCCAACATTTGTTAAATTCCTGATCAATCCCTCCCCTCAATCTCAGCCCAACATTTACTTAATATTATTCCCAAAGATTAAGCATGGGACAATTCTGCACTTGATACTTTTATAGCTTGAGAGAAACCTAGTGGAAAGTTAACATCATGACCAAATAGCACCTAGAATCCAAATAAATGGGCAATTCTGTAAAACATGAATCCTAGGTATTGAAATGGACTTTAGAGGTCAGGGGGTAGGTATACGGGACCAATAGCATGGCACTCCTAATTATTAATGATGTTAATATCTAAATTGACTAAGGGAAAGAAAATGGTAGGATCAGCCACCTCTCAGAAATGGTACAATTCCAGAAATTATCTGAATTTGTTAGTGAAGAGCTCTCAAAATTCAATCAGTATTACCTGTATGAAAATAAACTATATTGTACTTTGAAGAAACAATGTGTTCAAAAGAAAAGAGATGTCTTCTAAAGTACGTACAAAAATGAAGTTTGAAGAGACATTTGTTAATATTCATTCATTCTTTTGTTAACAAATATTTATTGCACATCTACTATATACCAGCCATGGGCTAAGCATTGGGATAAAAAACCAAATAAGACATTAATTCTGCTTTCAAAAAGCTCATGAATTAACTTTGATGAAACAAACAAGCAAACTCATGATTGCAGTATAGAGTGCTATATGTATATAGCGAAAGTGCTCTGATAGAGGTATGCATAGGGCAGTAGTGGGTAATAGAGAAGAGGAACCTAACCCAAACTGGGAAATAAGGAAAAGCTTTCCAGAGGAAGTTACACCTGTGCTGAGTTTAAGAGGGTTAGCCTTTCTTGGCAGAGAACAATACAAGGAAAAGTATTGAGGCATGAAACTGAAAATGTTGGGTAACAACAAGCACTACAGTCTGTATAAACACAACATGGTTGGATGCAACCCAGAGCACAAGAGAGAAAGTTGTAGATGTCCACAAGGGTCAGTTCTTGAGAGTCCTTTGGGTAAAGCTAAGGAGTTTGGATTTTATCCAAAAGCAAGCAGTAATATAATCAGGGTTTTAAAAGAGTGTAATATATAATCAGATTTGAATTTTAGAGATCATTATGGCTTCTCTGTGGATAATAGGTTGGAAGGGAAAAGAGTAGAAGCAGGGAGTCCAGATAGAAGGTTGCTGGAAGTGCTCTAGGTAAGAGATGAAGGTGGCCTGGACTAGACAGGTAGTGGAAATGAAGATAAATAGATTGGGAATGTATTTTGGAAGTAGAATCAACAGGACTTGTTTGGAGTATAAAAGAGAGAGAAGAGTTAGGGATTTCTCTGAAGTTTTTGGCTTGGAAGACCGAATGACACTTGATTAATCAGGAAGAAGATTTTAAATTTATAGAGTGGATAGGAGGGTGAGGAGAGTTCAGTGTATACAAATTGATTTTCAGGTACCTATGATGTAATTAGGTAGAACTCTCTGGTAGGCAGTTGGATTTTCTGATTACTGAACACCAACTAAAAGCAAGATACTGGAGAGGCATGGGTATACAGAGTCAAAAGAAACAGTCCCTGCCCTCAGTGAGTTCACAGTTTACTAGAAAAGTCAGAGAGGTAAACAGATGATAATGTACAGTGTAATAAATGTTACAACTGAGAAAAACAGGATGCTATGGCAACATGGGTGTGGTTGAGTCTTTAAGAACAAATAAAGTTAATCAAGCAATAAGAGTAAGGATATTCAGGCATAGGCAATAGTATATTACATGAGAACACCAGGAAATATCCAGGGAACTAACATTCAGTAGTTAGGTATGGCAGGGATGTGAGTTGCAAAAGGGGAGCCAATAAAAGTAACACTGGTCAAGTAGGCTATGCCAGAACATGAAGAGTGTAGAAGACAACATTAAAGAGTGTAAATTCAACACACATGCAAACACATTTGCATACTCACACATACATAAAGTAAATAGGGCAAAATAATAATTAAATCCAGATGGTGGGTATATAAGTGCTCAATGTATTAATTTTTCAATTTTTCTCTATATTTTAAACTTTTTATGATGAGTTTAAAATTATGAATTTATATTAAATTATGTAGAACAAATGAATATGATCATACCTAGGACTAAATAGATCTTCTGGATTGTATAAGGGCAAGACAGGACATAGTAGGACTAGTGAGGAAGCTAACATGCCCAGTACTATCCTGGAGGTCTTTCCCAATTGTGGAGATGGAGGTATCAGACTATGAACCATTAAAATCATCCCATGAACTCCCCTTGCTACAAGTCCATCCTCGCCAATCAACTTTTTTATTAGCTCCTCATATAAATATGCCTACAGGGAGATAATGCACTGATGGGCAAACACTAGTATCTGGTCCAGTTGGAAGTTATACTTCTCATTATAAATTAATTAGTATTCTGGCTTATATATTGGTGTTTTGTGAATTTACTTAAGTGTGAGTCAGTCTATAAGATCCAAGTCTCTGGTTTTACTACCAATCAAATGTCAAAGCTTGCAAAGCTAAGAACCAGACTCTGTCAAAGTCCTTCGACTCTATGGAGACTTGTCTGGGTAACTCTCTGGCTTTCCCCAACCATATTCCTCTGTTTTGCTGTGGTTTCTTTTCAAACTGCCACAGAGCCTGGCTAGGAATGAGGTCTGATGATGGGAAGCATCAGCATCATCAGGGAGCTCATAAAAAATGAAGAATCTTGG